GTAACTCTAGAAGTGCTACAGGTGGAGTAATGAATTTTTTAATATGGTATGACTGAATTTATTCACCTCGAAAGTTAAACTTAATCAATAGAATGATATTGCTGATATGCTTCTTATTAATTAATCCATTCGTTTGATTTTAGTTTTCTCTTTTCTTTTCTTTTCTTTTATTCTTAATGATGATTACGATTATGGTTATTAATTTGGTTACTTACCTACCTACCTACCCGCCCACCTACCTACCTACTTACTTACTTGCTTGCTTACTTACTTACCTACGTACCGATCCACCTACTTACTTACTTACCTACCTACCTATATACCTACTTAGTTAGTTAGTTCATTTGGAATATATCTAATTCAATAATATTAGATAAGATTTTATTATAATTATTTTTTTTGTAGTTGATAAGGGAAGAGAATAAGAATAACGAGTGGTGAACTTGTTAATGACCCCTCTAACACTAACCAACAACCTCATCACAACCACCACCACAACCCCCCTCATCCCCACCACCCCACTTAATTAGAAAATCTGAATATGTTCAATTAAATGTTTACATGGAATCTAAATTAAATTATCATAATAAATTATTCTTTTCTACTTTTTTTCTTTCTTTCATTGATTTAATATTCAAATTTGAAGGAAAGAGAAAGAGAAAAATATTTTCTTCTTTGAAAAATTTATTCTTTTTTTATCAGAAGGGGGTTTTGTAGAGATTTTACTGTGTTCATAGTTGAATTCATGAGTTCATTGAAGCTAGATCAACACCATGGAAAACTTGGAAGCACTGAATGGTTTTTCCGTTCTAGTATGAGACTCCTTAACAGTGCGCATGCATCATCCCACTTCACGAGATCCGAACCCAGGACCTATCAGTTAGATATTGATGCTGTTAGATGCCAGTTCACTGGTCAAGAGGTTAAGCGTTCGAGCATGATATCGTTAGTCTTGAGTTTGAATCTTGCGTTCAGGTTCATATTTGCGCACTGATAAGGAGTCCTAAATTAGGGTAAAACAGCCATCCAGTGCTTCTAGGTTTTCCATAGTGGTTTAGCTTCAAATGACTCATGAATTCAACTATAAAATATTTTTGGAATTTTTTTATGAAGAATTGTAAATTCACTTGGTGTTATTTGCTTGAATCTTCCCATTGATGTGTTAGGATAACAGTTGATCAGTCTCTTATTGACATATATACATACTGTGCGGATTGCCTCGATATTGCCTTAATTCATAAGTATTATAAACAAAGATGGATAGTTGCTAACAGCTGAATCCAGGACGAATGTTTCGTTCTATTCAGGACTCGTCAGATGAATTTATCTGTATCTGAGAATTAATGCTCACTCTGGGGCTCGAACCTAGTATCGTCCGCTTTAAACGCCATCGCGTTATCCCAGAATCAACATCAACTCTAAGATTCAAGTACATTCAGCTGACGAGTCACGAATAGGACGAAATGCGCTTTGCTCTAGATTCCACTGTTAATCACTATCCATCATTACTTATAAAATAATTAAATGTTTTAAAACACAAAACTCTCCTTTGCTTGTTTTATGAAATAGTTTACAAAAGAATAACAGTGTGATTAATGAAAGTAACATTAAAGTTTCAGTGGATAATTAGGTCGTTTGTCTAAGTTTATTTAGATTTCTTTTTGTCGTTGCCGTTGTGAATATACAATGGAAAACTTCTAAAAGAAATTCAGAAATATCTTCAATTTGACTGATATATTGATTAAAAAGAATAACTAACTAATCATTAAATGAATAACAATAATCGTCCTAGTATGGGACTCCTCAGTGGTATGCATCCATCGGTAGAATCTAACGTATGTCGGGTGGAGGCAATTATCCATCTCAGACAATGAATGAAAGGTTGAGTATGATCATAGATCAATTGTAGTCAGGCATTAATACCGTTGCATATGGTCTAGAGGTTAAGTGTTGATGTGCAAAAACAAAAGTCCTGGGTTCCAATCCCGCATATGGGGTCATAGGTGTGTACTGTTCAGGCATCCTATGCTAGGACGAAACGGTCGTCTAGCGCTTCAAGGTTTTCAATGTTTGTCTAGCTTAGATTGATTTATAATCTCAATCAAGACTGAACAATCTCCATAACCTTATAGTGGTTCATAAATAGTTCTCAAAACTTATTATTCCTAATTCTAATCGGAATATGACAACTTCGATACCTGCTCAGTGGTCTAGAGGTTAAGCGTCGGTACGTAAAAACGAAGGTCCGGGTTCGAAACCCTTGATCGAAATCATGGATGTGCACTGCTGAGGAGTCTTACACTAGGACAAAACGATCATCCAATGGTTCCAGGTTTTCAATGGTTAATCTAACATCAATCTTCACAACTTCATACTGATAATTTCATAAACATTGATTTACACTTTTATCTTGACCTTAATGTACTTAAAATTTACTGTTACTATTTATTACTAATCATAACATGAAGAAAAAGATCAGATGTGATAGTTACAATAGACATGACCTATAAGCTTAGATATATGTATACATATTTTGGTTAAGTGAAAGCAAGTGAATAAATGAATAAGTTGAGTAGATATATTCATGAAAATAACTATGCTGTATAACAGATGTACACATATATATGTGCTATACTATAAGTTGACACAATTTAGTCTAATAGGATTCTGTATAGATGATGAATAAGAACAATCCTTTATAGGTCATAGGTCTTTCAATCTATTCATCAGTTATTCTATCAGTCAGTAGATTTACATTAATCAGTCAATCATTTAGTCGATTACCCGCATTCTACTAGGACTAGTTAAATTTCGACGTTGAAAACCCACATCTATCAAGACAAACCAAAAAAATAAATAAGATAAAGTGTTTGTATGTATGTGTGTATATACATGGTAAAGAGTAACCTAGTTACTAACTTTCAGATTATGGTTAATAATATCCGATTACATTGATCTAACTACTGTTACTACTACTAATACTACTACTAGTAGTAGTGAAATAAGTAGTGTATGTTACCCTATAAGTGTATATCTATGTGAATTGAAGCACTTCTCAATGAATTAGGCTAATTAGAAAATAAATTATGAAACACATGGAAATCTAAATTATTATTTGTATAATTGATAAGATATATGGCTTTATAATTTGATTGGAAAACTATATTCTAATTGTATACATATACACAATGACATATACAAAGCTTTATATACATACAATTATAGATCGAAATAGAACACAATGGTTTAGATATGACTATTATTCTTTGCCCTTGTTTATCACTTTTCAGTTTGATTTGTTTATTAGCATAGAACTTACAGATATGCCTTACTGCCTCCAAATGCCCTAGTACGGCCGAGAGTAGAGAGAGAGAGAGAGAGATAGCTTTCTCTTTCGAAATGCTCTCATATGGTCACATGCATACAACCACTGTCACACAAGTCCTACTCACTGTCTTCTCGTGACATTACTGTTGTTTACGAAATCGAGAGGACAAAAAACGAATGTCCGACGCTCTAACTAGGTTAGTAGATATGAAGGATCTACTTAGGGGAGTTGGAAAACTCTGATTCCAAACCAATGGTGTACATGGGCTGGATCCAGTATCCTGAAGTAACAAATGGCGTATGAACCAATCGTTGGTCACCGTTTACCATGTGACTACATCTCCTTACATTGCTCGATCTTTAGGTCGATGGTTCGGGGTGTGGTCCCCTAAGAAAAATACCTGCTTCAATTTGGGTATCCGGGTAGTATTCCAACCCTCACACAAATCGAAGTATTTATGTGGCACATATCCATTTGGTATCTCGTCGTATTTTATTTATTATTTATTTATTTATTTAAACACATAAACATTGGTACAAAGAGGCACCAAACAGATATGCACTACATAAATCATTCGATTTGTGTAAGGGTTGAGATACTGACCAAGTGCCCAAACCGAAACAGGTGGTTCTCTTAGGGGCCATACCCGATGGGAATTCTCTTTTTGTCCTCTTGATTTCGTAACCGACAGTAATGCCACGAGAAGGTAGTGAGTAGGACTTCCCTGGTAGAGACTAAATACGCGTGGTTATGTGAGAGCGTTTGCAGAGGGAGAGCTCTCTCCCCACTCTCGGCCGAAGCACAGCATTTGGGGGCTCTTAAAAAAAAGATATATATATATACTACACTCTATTCAATCATTCACTATTAAACAATCGAGTATTCTTTCCTTATGATTCGATTCTTTTCTTTTTTATTTTTCTTTATTAAAAGCACTAACTACTTGTCAATCTTTAATTGAGGTCAATTGAAATGATTTATGTATCAATTATTATTTCATTACAATTTTTGATAGGTATTCATCAATTATAATCAGGACAAGTAAATGATATCTTATTCATTTATAGTACAGATCATCATTCTATTGTTGTTTTATTGAATGATGAATTGATTTGTGCCAAGATCTATTTGATCGAGATCATAAATCGATTGTTTTTGGATCATTATTGAAAACTTGGAAATACTGGATGGTTGTTTCATCCTAGTATGAGACTAGTGAACAGTGCACATCTTGGGTTCGAATCCTACGAGTTGAATCGTGAATGCATACTGTTGAGATGTCCTACACAGAAAGATGAAACGGATCTCCAATATTTCCAAGTTTTCAGTGGTAGTAGAATACTGATCAACAATGTGTATCAACATGAGCATCGTGAATTCCAATCTCATGTGTTGGATCGTAAATGCATACTGTTGAGAAGTCTCACACACAAAGATGAAACGGATCTACAATATTTCCATGTTTTCAATGGTAGTAGAATACTTATCAACAGTACACATTCATCTATACATCCTGAATTCCAATCTCATGAGTTGGATCGTGAATGAATACTGTTGAGAAGTCCTACACACAAAGATGAAGCGGTCTAATATTGATCTAATAATGATCTCAATCTAAGCTCAATAATCTTTACTCATATTAACTTATTATTCTATTATTTTTTGTATTTAGAACGATTCCGATTTAACATCATCATTAACAAATGTCACTACTACAACAACAACAACTTATAATAACAATAATAATAATACTACTACTAATACTACTCATAATCATAGAAAAGAAGATCGTGTTAAACGTCCAATGAATGCATTTATGGTATGGTCACGTGGTCAACGTAGACGTATGGCACAAGAAAATCCTAAAATGCATAATTCTGAAATAAGTAAACGTCTTGGTTCAATGTGGAAAAATTTATGTGAAACTGATAAAAAACCATTTATTGATGAAGCAAAACGTTTAAGAGCTAATCATATGGCACAATATCCTGATTATAAATATAGACCAAGACGTAAACATAAACCATTAGAAAGACAAAAAAAGACTATGTCTTCATTGACGAATACAATGATAAGTGGTTATATGAATAATACAACGCCTGGATTACGTAATCATAATATCCATAGTGTTGGAAATGTACCGTTAACTCATTCAAATCGTAATATTCCTAATATATTTGATCCATTAATTACATCATCATCATCATCATCATCAATGCCATGTCAAAATCAATTTAATCCACAGATTCATAAACATGAACATCATCCACATCATTTACATGGATTATTTAATGCATCTAATCCACGTCTTCATTCATCACATTCATATTCATCAAGTATAAATCCATTGTCTAATTATTTACCGCATCAAATTACTGGTTTAGTAAATACTACTAGTAGTACTACTACTAATAATAATAACCCTTCATTAATTGAATCCCAACAACAACCAGTTGACTATCAATCACATAATCTTTCAACAAACTATTTACAATCCAATATGATGATGATGCCATATTATACAAATGAATTTCATCAAAATGATAAAGATATTAGTTTAAGACAAACATTATTTGGATCTGATACAAATGCTTCATCGTCATCATCGTCATCATCAACGACGATAACGACGACGACGACGACGACAACGATGACAATGACGACAACAACAACAACACAATATGATCAGAATACATCATTTCATTTACAATCATTATATGCTAATCGACAAATTTCTGGACAATATAGAGATACTACTATTAATCATAATCACAATAATAGTAATAGTAGTAGTAGTAATAGTAATAATAATGATAATTATTCTAGATCCCTATTAAGACAAGAACCAATTTATGGATCGGAACAAAATCAATATAATCCTTCATCATTACTCAATAGAAATGATGATAAATCCTTAGAGTTTTTACGGAATACATCATCTATTCCAATGAATAATAATAATAATAGTCATGTTAATCAACAATTATTACCAACAGATATGTCGAGTTTAGCTGCAGCAGCATTAGCCGCTGCTGCTGTAAATGATACAACGAATGAATATAATACAGAAATGAATCATTCAAATTCTATGACAATAATGCAACGTTTAAGTAATACACCATGGTCAATGTTTTATTCAAATAATAGTAATATGATTAATTCTATGAGAATAAATGAACAACGATCATTTCTTAATTCATCAACAATGAGATCAAATCAAACAGGAGGATCAAGTTTAGATTCACCACCACCATTTTCAATTGGACGAAGTGGATCTAGTACACCAATTATGAATAATATGAATAATACCACTACTAATAGTAGTAGTAGTAATATCCCCCGTGTTACAACATCAACAACATCATCATCATCAGTTACAAATGGTAATCCTCATAGTGCAGCAGCTGCTATGATGGCAGCTGTAGCAGCAGCAAATTATGCAGCATCGCAATTAGCATATTATGGTAATAGTGGAAATACAACATCAGGCATGGATCAGCATCATCCTCCTCATCATCATCATCTTCAACATCCCCATTTACAGCAACAACAACAACAACAATCACAACATCATCATCAACATTCACAACAATTGTTACCTCAACATTTAAGTAGTACACAACATACAGATTGGTTAAATAAAAACAGTAATAATAATAACTCACAAAATACTACACTACGATCTGCATGGTCATCAATTTATCGAAATGAATGTGATCCAGTAGATGTTGGAAGAAATGATATGAATACATCTTATACATCTAGTTTACAATTTGATACTCATAATCGAAGTAATAATAATAATATAACATCACAATTTCATGTCAATCGTAATACATCATCGTCATCATCATCTACATCATGGTTGGAACGTCTTGATGCTCAACAACTACATCATAACCAACAACAACAACATTATTTTGCTAATCATAGAATATTACCTAATATTACTGAATTAGGTAATATAACTAATTATACTAGTAATCGAGATCTTTTAAATGAATCATCTTCCAATGTACAAAAGAATTAACCACCATCCCCAACAACAACAACAATGAAAAGTACATCCCTATTGTTCATTTACTTTTCTTATTCAATATAATCAAGAATTCATTATTTGTTGTTACAAGAAAAGTATGTAAAGGACTTCATTGAATTATTGTACAGCTGAATAAAAAAAAACTTTTTTTTAAATATAGATAATAATACCCCCTCCCCAACATGAAATCAATAAAAACACACAGAGAGAGAGAGAGAAAGAGGGAGGGAGGGAGAGAGAAGGAGAGGGGGGAGATATAGCATCATACCAATATGCCAAAGATGCATAAATACATATATTGATTTTCTTTTTCTTTTTTCTCTTTTTATCAATGAAAAGAAAAAGATTTAAAGATCGACATTCTTTGGCATAGAAACAAACGAATTCAATAAAATTACAACTAAGAATCTAAGAACAAAAGTATAAATTTCCTGTTGGAAAGCATTTTTTTCTATAATAAAAAAGAAAGAAGAAAATGTGAGCAAAAAAAATAGAGAAAAAAGAACAAAAGAGAAGAATTCAATTGTAATTATTTATTTATTTGCTTGGTTGTTTAATCATCACTTCTTTTTTTCTTTTTTTTCGGTTTTCTTTCCTCTTTATACTTCTCTATATAATCATATTGAATCTTGTCTATTCTACATAGATACAGTATTCTTGTATCATTCCTATTTGGTAACTATGACCATCAGTAGAATAGATAATAAACGCTGTTATGATTAGTTGTTATGTATTGAATAATATTTGATATTAATGTGACATATTCATTAAAAGACATTCCCTTCAACTTAGCATTACTGAATAGAAGTAGATCTATCTATCTATCTATCTATCTATCTATCTATCTATCTATCTATCTATCTATCTATCTATCTATCTATCTATCTATCTATCTATCTATCTATCTATCTATCTATCTATCTATCTATCTATCTATCTATCTATCTATCTATCTATCTATCTATCTATCTATCTATCTATCTATCTATCTATCTATCTATCTATCTATCTATCTATCTATCTATCTATCTATCTATCTATCTATCTATCTATCTATCTATCTATCTATCTATCTATCTATCTATCTATCTATCTATCTATCTATGCATATTACAGACTATTTGTATAAATCTTATTCATAACTTTCTAATTTACTCAATTGAAACATTTTTCTTTCTAGAAAAAACAAATAAACCATGTTAACCAAACATTATGTTACATGTTCATTCGTTCATTCATTCATTCATTCATTCATTAGAATACACATAGCCCCTTTGTATATAATTAATATATATATGATAGTAATAATAATTATTAATAATAAATATATATTTATGAAATTGTATCAATCTCCTGTTTATGAATTATGCAACAAAATGGATTAGATTGTCAAGTCTATCTTTTACTACTTATAAGTAGTACATGAATTGAATATGAAATATTGATTAATCATGATCAACCATTGAGTAACGCTAAAGTGACCTTGGAAGTGACCAATTAATGAGGGTTATAAACGAGTATGTGAGGAATAAAAATTATGATTTACAGTTGATGGTGAAGGTTTTCATCAGGAGCGAACATAGGCTATAATGCCAAAACTTTATTTAAGCAAATGAATGAGTGAATTTCGCGCCAAAATCCGAGACATGTTATCTTATACGTGATTGGTTCGTCCACAAATTATAGTCTCTACAAAAATCAGTCAGTCATTAACAACGTAGAACTTCGTACGTACGTGCGTACATCAGTTCGAGTTGCCATATCACATTAGCACACAAATACAATTTTCGATTCAAATCCCATAGTAGTAGAGGTAGTAAAAGTATGAGCAGCAATTGGAAAGGTTAGGGTTTGAAGATGTTATTCAAGGAGTATAATCCAGTGAAATAAACTTGGAACGATAAAAAAATGGGGAAATGAAGAATTCAGAAGATTAGAATTTTGGAGAACACAAAGAGTGGATGCACCTGCGCCATTTCAAACGATTTTGAGCCCTTTCACTCAAGGTCTCTAACCATTGGTTGCTATTTTTCACAGATCCCAACCAGATAGTCTACACCTACCGAAATGACTCAGTCCACTTGTTAGTAAATTCATGGATTTACGCCATGTTTTGGTCTGGCGGCCCTTGACTCCCTTCTTCAAAAAACCTTACCGCCGGAGACGGAGATCCATGAGGTAAGGTGAGACGTGAAGGTTTTGAAGAGTCGACCTTCTCTAATCCTTTCCTTCCTTGTGAGAAGGCAGAATCGCTGGAGATCCCAGTTGTCCGAGTGAAACACCTTACTACTTCCACACCCCTCTACAGTCAACAGTACGACTTCGCCCTCAAACCTTGAGTTGCTGTTTTTAGTCTTACTGTTCTCCAATCGACCTGCATGGCATGGGAGAACCTACAGGAACATATATTTCAGCCAATGTAGCTCGGTTGCGTCAACACAACAGGCAAGCCCGACCACCACGTCAGGGTAGCAGCTACGGTCGGGCCGAAAAAAAAACAGAGAAAATTAATGTAACGTTCAAGATGGTTAAATGAACATACGAACACTATGAAACAAAATAACTCATCTTTGAGGTTTAGTAAGAAATAGCGGTCAATGAATTTTAACCCTGTTGACTGTCAGATAAATATCATTAATTACAATGAATGATAATGGAGTAATATCACAAATTGAATGAAATTAGGAATGTACATAATTGAATATCAACTCAATGGTTTGAAGTTTAAGCGCCTATCTTCAAGTCTGAAGATCAAAAGCTTTTGTTTCTTCTTCTTCCTGTTTCATGTATTCTCTTTTTTTGTCTTGGATGGAACTATAATTTATGGATGACCTTTGAGCAACGCTAGACTGCTCTTGAGAATGTCCACCTAATAAATAGGACCAAATGAAGGGTATAAAGCAGTTTGAAGAATAAGGATTATGATTTACAGTTGATCGTAAGGGTTAGAATTTAGATTTATGGTTTTCATCACGAATTGACATCAACTATAATACCAAGATGCTATTTGGACGAATGGATGAGTGAATTTCGCGCCTAAATCCAAGACCGGTTATCCTAAATCTGATTGGTTAGTCTATATAATTTAGTTTCACCATATTTTCTGATAAGACAGTCCGTATGATACAGTCCCCGAAAAATGATTAATACTGTTCACAATAAACATAAATCAACTAGGAGAAATTCACTGATATAATAAGTTTTAGAATGATCCCTTCAATTGATCATAGTTTGGTTATAAACCAGAAGAATGATACAAATAATAATTAGAAAAAGGGATCGGTGATAAGAGACCGATTATTTGAGTAATTAGTTACACTTTTGAGAGAAAGATCCAATCTCATGTTGAAGCGCGAGACTGATAAGTCCAGGGTTCGAATCTCACAAGGCAAGATCGTGGATGCCCACTGTTTAGGAGTCCCACAATGGGACGAAACGTTCGTCCAGTGCTTCCAGGTTTTCCATAGTGGTCTAGCTTCAATTGATTCATGATCTCAACTGTTGAAATTACTACAATCTCCAAAAAACCCCTTTCTGATATTAATCATCATATGCTCACTAGTGACTGGATTCAAGAGGTATTTCCTGTAGTTCTAGTAAGAAGCTGTGACCAGTGGAGTTCAACGAGGTCTGTTGTGAGATAGTAGCTCACTGAAGAAAATGGAGAATGTTTCGCTCAATTTCGTGAGTTAGTTAAAACAAGACATTAAAACCGTTGAATTCCGGTCAACTCAGTGGTCTAGAGGTTAAGCGTTCGCACGTGACTCCAATAGGTCCTGGGTTGGAATCTCGCAAGGCGGATTCATGGATGCCCAATACCGAAGAGTCCTATACTGGGACGAAACGGTTGTCTAATGCTTCCAGGCTTTCCTTAGTAGTCTAGCTTCAATTGACTCATGATCTCAACTATTCAAATTACTAAAATCTCCATAAACCCCCTTCTAGTACAAAATAATTAGATTACAGATGAATTCTATATTGTGACATGAATTCAATATAATCACTAATGAACGATACCTGCATATGTAATAGTTGATCATCTTTATCATCATCATCATTATTATTAGAAAATGTTTAAAAGGATTGGTGACATGTTCTCTAATTAATCCGATTATTAAACCTGGTAACCCTATTTCAATTGTTGTTATTAGTAGTATTATCCATACTATATATATCCATAACTATAATGTAAACAATAAATGAAGTTGTAAGCAATTGAATTCCTAATTACATTTATATGTTTAAGTTACATGTATATTGTACATTAATCCTTTTTTTTTTAAACATTATCAATCAAATCCTTTTTAAGTTATTTATTACATCAGTGTAGGGTTGTGGAGATTAATAAGTTATTGATTGAGATCATGAACCAATTGATGTTAGACTACTGTTAGAAACCTGGAAGTATTGGACGGCCGTTTCATTTTATTGTGGGACTCCTCAGCAGCACGCATCGATGATTCTGCTCGCGGAATTCGAACCCAGGGCCTTCAGTTTCGCGAGCAACGCTTAAATTGAGTAATTCTAACATAAAGGGGAGTAAGGTAATATCATAAATGTTTTGTTATGATCCTATAAAGAAATGAATGAGAGATAATCAATTATGATGGATAATATATTATTTAAGATGATGGTTACAAGTAGTCAACAGGAAAATTCTGGAATCAAGTTTCGTGTTATTTGGATTTGATACATATGATATTGATCACCATTCTGTGATCAATCAATTGTGAATACATCTCAGTCCTACATGAGGTCAGTTTCTGACTGTGAAGCTGGGTGACACGAGATCGAATCCGTCAGGGAGCATCACTTCCATCAAAATTACAGTTCCATCTTTCTGATGAGTGATAAGTAGCACGAAACCCAGGTTTAGGTTTTCCTGTTCACTAACTCCAACCACCATCTTATCTCAAAATGATGCATACAATGTCGAGTCACCTGGACTGGTGGCCACATTGCAACGTGTTCGATAGGATTCGATCTACACTAAGAAGGACCTGAAATACATGACCTTGATCACCACCCAATGATCAATCAACTGTAAATATATCATTTAATTAACCATTTGTTTTGCTTCATCGTGTGCCAGCTAATTTTTAAATTATCATTATTATTATCCATATACATATCTTCTCACCCCCCCCCAAAAAAATACAACTATCAGTCTAGTACATTATAGCTTGTGGTTCCACATCACCGATTGATCTTAGTAAGACAACCATTAAAAACTAGAAGGTACTCG